GGGGGGGACACACAAAAAAATAATGAAGAACTTTTCTCGATGGCCTTTTTCTCTTGGAATGGGCCTTTGCCTCTAGTTTCACAATTCTTCATACAACCATCGCCCATGATTTTTAAGTCGATGGCAAAAAAGACAGTCTTTCTCCTGCGCCTGACTGATCTACCCCAACTACTGTCGTTTTGGTGGACTTGTCCTGCGAACATGGGGACCCATCTCACACCACAATATCACTTGGGACATCTGTGGCATCTTCAATGGATGCATACCCCCATACCACTTCGTCCGTCGTCATGCAGCTCGCATTAGCGCTTCACGACTTTTTGACGACGATTTTTATATTCATCCAGATAATGCTAGGCTGATAATGCTCCAACTAGGGCATGCCTAGAATGATATTAAATTTGATCATTGAGACTGAGTAGGATAAACCCGTCTTTAACTCGGAAATCCTCGAAGTTTATAGCCAGCATCTTAAATGTAGATACATTAGCTTAACAAAGAATCATTTCTCGTTTTACATCAGGTAGGCTCATACCATGCCTAGCCATATCTTGCGCTCGAACAACTTGACTTGACGTACCAGTGTCAATCAAAGCTCGTAGTGGCTTCGCAAAACCATCTACAACGACGTTTTGGAAAATCACTGTCGAACTTTGCCTTACTCTACTATCACTCATAGTGGAAACTAAATATGCATCATACAAGGAATTCTGTGTATCCACAGCATCCACAGTACTTTTCTTCAGCCCAGTAGGGAGACCCACCCCTACTTGTCGCTTCCGTTTTTTTACCTTTAGGAGCGTTCAAACCGACGACCTTTTAACGTCAGCTGTTATCCGAACGAGCACCCTGTGTCTGTTGCCGGCTTCGGCAAAGACACTTTGCAGTTCCGAGCAATATGACCCGGCTACCACAACGAAAATACTTTTCATTGTTGCGTGGACGCTCATTCCTAAGCGTAGAAATGTACGAGATGTCCATTGGCTCTAGACCATCACTTGTAGCAGTCGACTGATGCTCTTTTCTTTGTACGAAGCCATTGAACTTGGCTTGCTTGGTGCTGAATAAATCATGCATCACACGTTGATGGCTTTTTCCAGCGCCTTATGGTACTCAAGAACAGTTGATTCCGGATCAGGCCATCATTCCGGTCACGAACGTTACAGCTTGCGTTGAAACATTAATTGGCTCGTCGGCAATGCTCGATACCAAGAAGCGAGCACGGTGTGCGAACGAGTGTAGGTCGTAACAGCCTTGACAGCTCGATACGAGCACGAAACTCACTCTGTGGTGATTCAAACGCCTTCTTTAGCTGGACTTTGAAGTGTTTCTAACTGGGAAAGCAGTTTAAATCGGCTTAACACGATCCAAACGCCCAGCCCTTCGCACGACCCGCAGGGTTGGACATCGCGAACAGTACTTGCTGCAAAGGTATCGAAGCTGTCATTGCTGCATCCGAATCGACAAACTGTCGTGGACGAGGCCCGTTCTCTCCACCGCAGTACGGAGACACGTTCAGCTTTGGGGGCATCGTTCTGTACGACGAAACAGGGGTTACCACCTGCTGTCGAGATTCCTTATCTCATGATGTATGAAATTGACTGCCACTTTTTTGGATCATCCAGAGAAGGCGACTGCAGTAAACTGACTACAGCAGTTTCTCCGATGACTTCTCGAATCCGCTCAATAGTCATCCACTCATGTGAAGACAAATTAGGAAAAACGTCTTTTCTGTCAGCACCTCAGTTTGCGGAGGTGATCCACCGAGTGGCTATCCAACTCTTTCCATGTCGCTCGGACAAGAACAAAAGTATGGCTGGGACTGGAATGCGCGACGATCAACCCCATTGTCAAATCAAAATCGACTGAGCCACTCGAAGCGCCTCCAGGTGTAAGAGGACGCTGTCACAACAGCCCCTCAAATACATCACACACGCTTGTGCGACGAGGAAGCGATTCCCGACAACATTGATGAAGAAGGAAAGGGAAGAAGACCGACGTTTAATATGAAGGCAAATTTGCAAATGAATTAAAATGAGTAAATGGTTCTAGCTACATGTGAGGGTTGCTAAAGATTTTACTAAAAAATACTGGGTTCCTAATTATACAATTTAGGGTGCACTGCGGTTGATCCTCAGCTTGAACTTATACATGATCTGGGGTGTACAGAGCTTGAACTTCAAGAAGCTTGAAATTTAACTTTCGTGGAAAAGATTAAGTAGAAGCGACTGGCTCACGCCACCTACTTCAAAAGTCAGAGACATGTCGGTCTCGTCACCAATACAGATTCTCAAGTAGGACCCAACATTCCGTAGCAACCAGAATGTTTGTGACTTCAGATAAAATGTCACATATGCATGTGGGATCACCATACTGCAACCTTCTGTTTATAGATGTACCTTCATGTAACGGCTTTGTGTAGTCCATCACACCCTCCCAATATAAGTAGACTATGCCAATATGGCACAATCCTCACCAATATTCTTTTAAAATTTGTCAAACAGTATCGGGGTGCGGTGAACGAGACGGTACATACGGCCGTGAAATGAAAATATTTACGTACCCCGATTCCGGCTCTTATTCATCCGGATCGGCCATGCCATGTCATCTACAACGCTTCAAACTTTGCAATAAGCTGTGCTTTTCTCGGAAACAGAACCAATGGGCATGAACGCGCGATTGCATTTGAGTTTTGCTAGTTTAAAGATGCTAAAAAAGCTGGCCTTTTCATGAGAAAGAGCTTCTTCCAATGATATATACCCTCGTCAAGGTTAGCGTGCTTCTACTTAGCTCTTTACCGTTTGCTATCGATGCAGACCATGCGCCGTTGCGCACAGCGACGTCGTCACCACGGTTTGCAATGAGAAATGACGCGATGGTTATCTATCTTTCCAATTACATGTTTAAGGTAAGGTATAAGCGGTCGGCTATAATGTGTCGCGTTGCCGCAGCTATTACCGTCACATGTCACAATTGTGACGTTGCCGTACTTCTAACATCCCATTCGACCCTCGCGGCACGGAAGGTGTACTCGCATTAAATGCGAGACTATTCGCCTTCTCGAAAGAGGTGGAAGGTCTCGGTCTGAGGTCCAACTTTCTGAAGTCTCTTCATGAAGAGGGTAATCGTTATCGCTTACAGGAAAGGGTCTGACGTTTTTTCGGCAACAAGAGCTTTGAACTCCTGGGCACATCCCGCTTGTTTCAGCGCCTTTTGATTTTGACAGATGAAAAGAGCTTCGAATACACTACATATGCCTGACTAGGCGTGCGGATATCCGCGACAATATCACCAGGCTGAGAATGCCTCTTCTCTAAAAAATACACACACAAGCGCCCATTCATGCGCTTAGCCTCCAAGATTTAAGACCGCAAGGACGGCACACTGATGCTCCGTTTAGAGTATGGCCAATTCATGACCATCTTAGCTTCTCTTAATCAAAAAGGGGTTTTCTCCGGCTCTGCTTTGAAAGGGCTGGACGCTCAGCATGAGTGATTTTACTGTAGGAGCCCGGTATGTTCCCGTCGCCGACTGATTAACACAATCATGAAGGTATCTTATCACCGCTTTCTTACAGCTGGTTAGTGCCTCATGGCGATTGGTCACCAATTCCGGCCCTTCAATCACCTAGCCTGCTATCGACTCGCAATCAACCCAGAAAAACCGTATCAAGCGTGCCTACTTATCTCGAACGTAACGGGGTTACACGTACGCTTGTATGAAAGGGCGGGTCGCACAAGATGGTGTGATCGTACATAGGTGTGAATTGCGTTGGTGTAATCACACAGTAATGTGGCGCCATGGTAACAACAAGCCACCACGCGGCAGGATTGCCAGTATAAGGCATATTACTATATTAATTAGGTTTTGCTTTATTATTTAGATATTACTATATTATTGGGATAATCTAGGGGAATTAGATACTGGCGGCTCTGTCGCAACGAAAACAGATAAATTCAGTTTCAATTTTGAACGGAAGAGTCCGCTTTCCTTGGATAACGTTTTAGGACTCTCGAAGGCAGTGGATTACGATCCGCTGCGCTTGTACTGGTTCATGAAAAGAACGTAAGGTCAGTGACCTTAGCTTAGCTTCCTATAAGCAAAAAGCTACGGCAGTTCCGCTACACTTGGTAACAATCATAGCCAATCAACGCCTGAGTCGTTACGACTAATCTTCTGTGATGATGTAGGAATACTCCTATTTGCCCCAGGGCATGCAGGACGGGATTATTAAACTGATGTCCCTGCTTGGTCCTGAGGTGTAGAGCACCTTGTTGCGGAAGGGTTTGAAGCGAAATTCAAGTTTTGAAAATGCCCAGTTATAGCACTTACAGCAGAAGCTGTCAGCGTCGACTGCGTCCATGACGCTACCGTCGACGACGGATGATTCCTTCCGTCCTAGACCACTCATGGCGAGTGGTTAGACCTTCAGGATAAGGATGGAGAGGATCTCCTGCTCTGGGTAAGAGAAGCCAAGGTGGCTATGACATCTGCCATGCTCCAAAACGAGTAGCAGCGCGTGCCGCTAGCTATCTCTAAGCTCGAGGGCCGAGCGCGAGAACTGGCACTAACGTGGGGTGCTTCGCTTAAAGCTGCGTTCCCATCCTGAAAAGAAGCTGGATTATCCGCTTTTGCGAGTGTTCTCGCCGCATAACCAGGCATAGCGCGTGCGATCGCGTTTCCTTGCTGCCCGACAGGGCAAGAAGGAGTTGGTGGACTTTG